TTTACGTGTATATATAAGATATACAGTCATATGCATGTAAATACTTTCATACATTTGTATAAACGTGCCTATATATCCATAATGATATCAATATATATATATATATATATATATATGTATATATATATATATGTATCGATACACATACACACACACATATATATAATATATATATAAATATATATATATATATATGCGAGTGTGTGGATTTACAAATACTTATATATATGTATATAAATATATATATATATATATACATATATAAATATATATATATAAATACATATACATATATATATATATATGTATATATATATATATACATATAAACATATTTATATATACGTGTATATATCATTTCTGTCTCTGTCTATACCTATGTCTATTTTGTTATGCATGTCTGTCTCTGTCTATACCTATGTCTATTTTTGTATGTCTATGTATGTATTTTTGTATGTATACATATGTATTTTTATGCATATTTTTATGATGTCTGTATGTATATGCATATATATACGTAAAATGTATACATATGAATATATATTTATACACAAACCTATAAGTATATTTATATATTGTAATTCTCAATGTATACCTTATGTATGTATGCATGTATGCATAAATTACCTTATACATATGTAGATATTCATATACAAGTAAATATATTTTTCAAATAGAAGTATCCATATATACATGTGTTTGCTTTCTACACGCATAGATCTGCGTGATTAGAACGGGGGAATCTGAATGTGTAGAACGATATGAATTAGGAGCACGCCTATCTATATCCTTGTAAACGACTTCCTAGATTGCTTTGATTCTCAATGTCGTTCTGAAAATTATCGGAAGGTACACGTACCCCCCTGCTAAAAGAATTGCCAGCGATCGTGTTATTTCCAATGCAAATCGTGTTCGTACCACATGTGGTGATATTTTTATTTTTATTTTGCAAATGTGTGTTTGAATTACAAATTGAATATATTCTTTCGGCATATGTATGCTCTTATAATGGTAGATTCAGATTTGTATATATCTGAAAAAGTTGTGTTGTTTTCTTTTACTTATTAGTCGTTTATAGATTGCATGCATGCTAAAAGTTATATATTTTGTCTATCTGTAAAAACATGTTCACAAAGGCACATCCATATGTCTGGAGCTGACGTTCGTATTGAGAACTGTATGATTGCTTGCATACGCATCAGTCATAGGCCTACAATGATGCATCAAGTAGTATGATGTTAATCTAAAGAATTGAGATGCCTTTGATTCATTTCATGTATATAATATATTATCCTGTCTGCTTACTTCTCCTACTTCTCACTCCTTTGCAGCATATCCGACTCAAGCATCAGGCCAAAACAACGAGCGAGCGAAGAATGTCTTGCCCTATCAACGTCCAACTCAGGCCTGGTTCTGGTATGTTAAGGCTCTCACCTCTTTCACGATGTATATAGAATATATTAACACAGTACCTTTGTGCTTCACTTGCATTGCCCTCACTATTCTACTTCCACGTCTCATCAACTGCAGATTTGCTGCCAGAAACCTCTCAGATTGCCGGCCCATTTCCGGTTCGTCGTCAAGCTACTCATCCACGCGGGCCTATATCACATTCAGTAAACCCCGGACACCCAGGACACGACGTTCACCCCGGACACCCAGGACCTCCAGCACAACCAAGACCATCAGGTCCTCCAGGACCACCAGGGCCTCCAGGACATACTTTCAATAGATCTTATCGTCCTCGACCACCCCCAAGACTATACCCTTACATTGGCGAACATAGAGTGCGCTACCCGGAGCGGGCTGAAAGTTCTCTCCAAGGTGCATACCCTCCGTATTTACACACAGATAGAGAGCCGCCAGAGTCAGGGTATCACCCCAGACACAGTTATCATGGATACGGCCCTCGAGAACGTTTGTATCGGGATTTTAGACCACACGTTTTCAGAGAGCATGGAGAATGGGCCGAATACAGACAACACATCCATGGTGGGGTGGGACTTGTACGAGAACTTCATGCGGGTGCACCGGCTTTGAGTGCTGGTAGCTGGCCGACCTCAAATGGGTACGTTTGAATGGTGAACTTTTACATGTGAAGGATTTATAAATGATTACATCTACACTCAAGGAATCCATACCGTATTCCATATATCGATCGGCTCTCTTAATATGAATGTCAATTATTTCTCACAGTATGCGCCGCTCACACAGTGGAAGAGCAATGGCTGGGCAAAGGGTCAAAGAAAATCCGTTGGAAACCGCGGTTCCGCGGTCGCGTCCGCACCGAGCTAATGTCTACCGCCGACGTGCGTCTCTGCAGAGGCGAGAGTCTACGAATTCTTCATTCAATCCATTCGGCCGTGATTCACACGCTCATCTCGACAACTCACCCATCTCGCTTACTTTGGACGACACAAATTATCAAGTTGCCACGCCTAGTGAGCATACGTCGCAGATACACACATTCACTACTGCACAAAAATCAGCACAAGAACTTTCACTTACCAAGGTTGCAAAAGGCGTCAAGGAAAACGCTTTGACTGGCCGGGGCATACGAATGTCTTCTGGGAACGCCGACAAACCGTGCTTGAACCCCGCCTTACTCATTGATGGAGAATGTGGAACAACCTCCGACAGCTGGCAGAGTTTGCATGATGCAGATATTCAAAATCCGAGTGGAATGCTTTTAGATTCTATTATCGAAAGCGGCGAGTACATTACTTCACTTGAAAATACAAAAGATGATTCTGTTGCAAGGCAAGCGGTGTCAGATGCAGCGGAAGAGTTGGAACTACGAACCGAAGCAAGTAACATCATACTTAGCACGGCGAATGCCATCTCGTTTCTGGCAAAAGTAACGGAGAAAACGGTCAATACCGACTCCCAATTATCTTCAATATCGCGCACGAGTACGAACTCATCTACGATGAACGGTTTTGACAACCAATTTTATTCAATGGGCAGTACAGAAAGGCTGTTTTCGGGCCGCTCAGAGTCCACTGCGAATAATGAGACCGATATGGACTACACACAAGATATCTCTTTATTTGCAGGTGTATCCAGTTTCCCCGCGAACGACATGGTGTCGCCCGCTGTTGACGATACAGCATTCTGTACTTGGATTCCTGACAAATTCGACTTTGATGACATTATTGATGCTTCCGAGTACGTGTTTGCCACCAACTTTCGCGATGCGGAACTCAATCAAAATATGAAATCTGAACAGGACGTTACCCCGATCGCTGATTCGGTGTGACAGCAACATAAAACGGCGATCCATCCAGGGAGGGCTTTGAGAATTGTTGCGAAATACTGACAACGCCATGTCTCTTGTAACTTTCAGCAAGCTGAAAGTTTTGACTGGTGTAGAATAAATTCGCAAGCATCTCTGACTAGACTAGCAAGCATCATTGACGAATCACGTCCACAAGAAAATATAATAAAGGAAGACCAGAAATCGGTTTGAAAATAGTAACTCCGCTCGTTAGCAGTAGACACTAAACATCAATGGCTCCCAGCTACATGCAAGCGGATTTCATTGCAGATCAATTGATATATTTCAGGGCGCGTAAGTTCAACCGAATTGACATATATATCATACTGTAGCGAAATTCCTTAGTTTATAAAGATTTAAATGTCACTGAACTGACCTATCTGCCGTCTCATTAGATGAAACCGTCGACAGAGGTGTCAGTCCACTTATACTTGAGGCGATGCATTATTCAACCAAGTATGGTTGTTTCAGTAAGGTCTCAAGTGAGGCGATGTATTATTTAACGAAGTAAGTCAGGTCAGTGAAGCCTCTAAAGCGATTAACCAACAAACAACAGTGCTCAGTCTTCCGTATATCATAAGAAGGTAGGTTTCCAACGTGTCTCCCTCCTGAACGTTCGGAAAACAAACAACTTGCATCATTAAATTGGAGATTCAAAGATTGCTAAGCTCAAAAGGCTTGTGAAATGTAAGAATATACCACTACAGGACCATAACAACTGGCTATATTGAAGCTTTATTTTTACAATCGCTATAACGCTATTTATTAAATAAGTTGCTTGAATCTCAGGATCTGGTTTTCAAAAACGGTACATAATCAATACCCAGTGCCTGTATGAACAGAAAGTGCGATGGATGGATTTAGAAGTTGAAATTAGTTCCGCACTTGTGCAAATAGACTATTTACGTCTATAGCTCATAGGATCACTAATTCATGGACATTTTTACTTTTTAGGGTGAACGACAGGAAGCCGGAAGGGCACCCTTATTGTGCATTTGCGGCCTGCGCTGTGTAACTTTTAAGAGTTTAGAGCTTAGACGTGCCTCTTTGGTGCTCATATGCTCGTCATGTATTTCGTGATTGACTTTCCCACAACTGTTTCGCAACCCCACAGGACATACATAAATAACACCCCCCATGAGGCTTGATCCCACCAGGCCGGCAGGCCCTACTCTCTCACTCTCTAGGCTATTAATACTACTACTCTAGTAGAGAGTAGAATCTGAGAATCATCGTCCCAGGCCGAGGGCACAGACCCAGCCGCCCAGGGCTCCGGGCCCAGGCCACAGAGGTACGGCTTGCACAAGGTCCCAAGTCCCCACTCCAAAGCGCCCGAGCCCCGGAGTCAGCCTCGGAGACTAAGTTCTAAATAAACAGAGTTTCTGAGATCAGTGAGACTCTCTACTCTAGAGAGAGAGAGAGAGAGAGAGAGAGAGAGAGAGAGATTAGTGTGTGAGACTAGCCTAGCCGCTCTCTACTATTTAGCTAAATAGTGTATGTAGACTGTAGAGCGAGAGAGGTCTGAGAGAGAGGGGTCTGAACTCTGAGAGACAGAGACTGAGAGCGAGAGGACCGTCCTTCTAAAATAATAAATTTTGACACGAGGTGAATAACTGAATAAAAGGTGATCCGCAAATCTCGATCCGCAATGCACGATGTTGCGCCATTCGACTCACTTGAACCAGTTTTTAAAAAACGGTAAATCCACTTTTAGTTATTTTTTTTAATTAAAAACCTTTTAAAAAAGTAAATACTAAATAGATTGTGCTTCTGTGCGTTCGTTTGTTTGCTTTTTTAAAAAACAAATAGAGAAATATATGGAAAGAGCAAAATATCCTGAGAATCAGAAATGTGGCAATATTTCTATGAAAAAACAAAACAAGCATTTTATAAAAAAAGGTTAAAGCAGTTGAGTGCAGTGTAAATAAACTGTAATTCTGCAAATATGTAAATACATAGTCACTCTCTTTACTCAACAAGAATAAGTAACAAAAGGGTGGGACTCGTGGGTGTGTGTACACTCCGTGTATTTACACTACAGTCTATACTCTACTGTCTGTACTCTGTACCCCATTCGATTTAGAGCAAGATTCATATTTATTACTTTACAAAATATGTATTTTTTATTTTTACATATTTTCGACGATAACTTCTTTTTTCTCTTTTTTTTCCCTATTATTTCGTATAGTTACCAACGTATTTCATATTTTATTTCGTATTTCGTATTTCATAATATTTCGTGTGTTCGTATTTCCCAAACCCAACCCCCCCCCCCCATATTACATATATATCTATTCTCGGTCCAAAAAACAAACATATTTATATATATTTTGTTTTGACAAATAACTACAGTGTCTAACGAGCACTATGCCACAGTCCAGTGTCCAGTTGTCCACACATGTTTTTGGCGTATTTAGAGGTGTTGTCGACTTATTACGAGTAAAACACATGATGTAAAAAATAAGTATCAAAATCAGGTCTCAGGATCTTTTTTTTATAGAAAAATTGTATCCAAATGTTTTTTTAAATGTACTTTTGTTTTGGGATTTGTTTAATTTTTTTGGATCTGTTTATTTATATTTGATTATTTTGATATTATAATGTTATATTTTCAGGGTGGGGGTTTATTTGCTATTTACTCTCGGCAAGGGTGACAATGCGACATTAGTATCTATTTCAAGTTTTTTTTAAATGACTGTAAAGCATAGTTGAGGATTTTCTTATCAGAAAATAGCCACAAAGATAAATAGTAAAATTTATAAAATATTTTAAAAAATATTTTGTCTTTTTTGGTTTTTTTTTATATCAAAAACAATAAAACATAACAAAACAAAACATTTTTTTGTTTGGTTTACTTTTGCTTTTTTTGATTATTTTTCCATAGGGATAATATTATATATTTCAAAAATGGCAAGTATGTATGATACAATGTATGAACATATGGTATGGCTCTCACAGTCACTGTAGTGGTTCAGGAAAGATTGATGGGAAGAAGTGGTCAGTAAATTCCCGTTTGAAGCTTGGGCCAAGTGAGTCGACAATGGAAGATATGTGCTGAGTCAATTCGGGCCAACTGTACTATCAAAGATGAGCGTCAGTATTGAGAGCGCCTATGATAGCTCCTGGTGTGACCCATGGGCCATAGGTTGGACCTCGAACCTGATGGTATGAAACTGACAGACTTGTCTAACCTCTATATATGTCCCAAGGTATTTGCCAATTCCGGGAACTGGACATATATAAAAGTTTGACTGTACCTAATGTAAAATGGATATTTCTTTGTCTTAAACTATGTTATATAAACTAAGATACAATTTAAGTCAGTTGGAATTTAGCAGTGGTAGCTTGTGTAAGAATGATCGGGACTGGCTCTTGGTAAGAGCCTTAATATCGTCGATCACACAGGACGTACCTCTAGCTGTTCTTTATTGAATAATTTTCACTAGAAGTACTAAGTGTTCATGACCATATGTCTAATTTTTAGAGAGGCATAAGAATGTAAGTCAAGTTAGTGAATTAGCTAATATAAATAAAGTTACATCTGAAGAAAAGTTATAAAAAAAAGAAAAAGACTTCTTGGATTTTGGAGATTGGCGGGAAGACCAAAACCTGTAAGTAGTAGTTCAGAGATTATAAAATTTAGTTTATAATATCTTACATCTACTTTCGTCTAAAATGGATCCAAGTAAATGAGTCATACCAAATACTCAGGCTATTGGAGCCATCAAAGTGAATTTAGAACACTTTGGAAATAACTTGTATTAAATTATTTTAAATACAAATAAAAACCAATGTGTTATCTCATTTAATCTTGATATTTTAGACTGACCGGAGGCCGTATTTCTACATAGCCCCCAGTAGTTTTTCAAACTACAGACGTACATGAAGGTACGATCTAGTTCGTACAGCGAAAACAAAAGTAAACCGGTTTCGGTCATGGCTTATCGAGTAGGTATGTGCCTATATGTACGAGTTCAAGACTCATGTTGTACTCCATGTCGCTTAGTATTTGGTCCAGTAAATATTTCCGATGTAGGCGCCTTACGTTTATTACTTGGTAAGGAATTAGCAAAAGGTGGTTCTTCATTAGTAAGTAAGCTCGAAGAAATTTCTGCTATGTTGGTAAGCATATCAGAATGTTTAGTCACATAGGAAGTAGGTGGCAAATAGGGAATTTCATATCCATCAGGGTTTGTATTCACCTGAGAAAACCATTTCCGTTTATCTCGTGTGTTCTTATGTAAACGCTTATTCCATTTCTTATTAAAAATACGAAGGAAGTCGCGAGATTCACGAAACACAACGGAGGTTAGCCAAGCTACTGTCCCATCTATAATACGGGTCTTGTAGTAAGTGTAACCGTTTTCGGATATTTTGTCAATTATTTCTTTGACTTGTGACTTCATAACTGGGACATCAGAATCAAATGAGCGAGCGAATGAGAGCTTGGAGGTAGGGATACGGTGAGTGCATAGATTAGTTGCGTTAGTACCATCTATGTTATTCAATTCGTAAATATCGTTCTTCTCATCATAGTAGGAAAAAACAAAAGGTCCGATTGTTTTAGAAGAGAGTTCGGTAACGTTGGCATTGCGATTTATAGTCATGTTCTTATTGTTATTCCATCGGTCATACGCTTTAAGTAGAGCATGATTTTTGTGCTCGAATAAACAAGGGTAAGCAACGTTCTGCATATGCTCGATCTTTTGTAGCCACGGAGTAACGTGTTTCTCGGGCGCAGTTTTGTCAAACGTTCTTGTAACTCACTATAGCGGCCAAAGAAATACTGAAACGGGAGTTTTCCAGTTTGAGGTTTCATGCAGTTATTCATTTGAGTCTGAATCCATTTCAAATGATAAGGCCACATATCCTCAACGTCATCTAGTGGGGTACGCAATAGCTTCTTCACTTTTAAATGACGTGTCTCATTTGCACCCTGCGTTTGAGGTTTATAAGGAATACCACGCGTCCCATCAATCTTTCCTGAACCACTACAGCGACTATGAGAGTCATACCATATGTTCATACATTGAATCGTACATACTTGCCATTTTTGAAATAAATAATATTATCCTTATGGATCATGCCTGATACGAGTGTAAGTGTCTCCATTACGTCGGTACAAAATTCACTACCGTTATCAGAACATAGTACTCGGGGGAAACCGAAGTCATTAAAGACGTGATAGCATAACTCTGCCACTGTTTGCGGGCGTTTGTT